AATGGGTGAATGCACAAGTTGTGTAAAGCGCTTTGAGTGGTCAGAAGAGTAGAAAAGCGTTATATAAGAACCAGTCCATTTACCATTTTACGGTGTCTGGACTCTTCAAAAAGCAGCTAAAGACATTTTTATTTCAAAAAGCTTGTAATTAGAGCAGGAGTTTTTATGATTTATTGTGATTTGTTGTCTTTCTTGTTTCATATGTCTGTGAAAAGTGCTATATAAATACATTTTACATGTTACTTACTGAAACCTCTGGAGCGTTCAGGCTATATTTTTACATCTCGGCTTTCTCATAAAGTAAAAAGAGAAAAAGCCTCAGTGTAGTGCAGCCTAATGAGAGCGAGCATTTTTCTATGTCAGCTGTAACTCTTCTACTCTTCGTAGCCAAGTTCATGATTTAGAGCTTGACTGTTACTGTTGGGTCTGTGTTTCCACAAGCCCCGCTAATTCTAGAGACTTATTCATCATGAAGAAAACAAGACAGTCGATCGATCGATTATTTGTGCAAGGGAGGCCTCGTCTGTGTCCACCACGAAAATGACCTCCAGAACTGACCTCCTCCTGCTGCCTTTTATTGAGAGACAGTTCACACAAAACACGTCAGAACAAAGCCACGCCCCCTTGGTTCTAAGACAAAGCATTGCATGTATATGTGTGAACTTCTGTAAGAATGTGTGTGTGTGTGTGTGTCAGACCTCCTGCTGACCAAAGGGTCGTAAACGCAGAAGCTTACATCAAAAAGCACAAGGATGTGTCTGTAATAAAAGACTACAGCCCCCCCCCACCTAGAACCTCGAGAATCTGGGGGGAAGGACAGTGGAATTTCTTTCATCAGAGTTAAAACAATGTACAAATGGTAAAAATAAAAATGACAAACATTTAACAATTCACTCTAACTGTTACCCTCTGCTAAAATCGCTGCACAATACTTTAAAAACATTGTCCAGAAAGAGTTTGCTTCAGTACCTCTTATTACCGAGTGGGTGAACCATTTTCTTAGAATTTCTTAACCAATTAATGCTGTGAAAAAATATTAGAGTAGAGCTGTAGCAGGAAAAATTGCTTTGAGTTGTTTGGTGAATGTGATGCTAGAATTGAAAGAGTGGTTTAGGAATCAGAGCAGGTCATTCTGAAGGTTGGTGGCTCGATTCCTGGCTGCTTGGGTGCACTTACTAAAAGTCTCAAAAGAGTCCCAGTGTTTGTGAAAATCACCTCCGACTGTCCAGTGCATGTAGGTGCAACAGGAGTAGCAGCACCAGTGGCCAGCAGTCTTTTTCCCTTTCTGTGACCAGTTGCAACTTGTGGTGACTCGATGATTGCCCGGAGTTAGAGGCTGTTACACACTCAGCCTCTTTTGGTTCCTTGCTGGGAAGCAGCGTTGACTTGGACTGAATCCGATCACTTTCAGAGAGATTGTTTAAGGTTTGCAAATAATTTCTATCAAATATACAAATTTCGATCGGCAGCATGTTGCCATCACTCTGAATAACCTTTGTCAGTGAGCACAACTTGAAGGGACTCACTCAGCCTGCTGGCGACTGGTTGTTCCTGGATACATTCCCTTTGGTTTATGTAGACAGCAACACATTCAATCAGACTGACAGCAGGTTGATCGTCTCATCAGTCGAGCGGAGTTAATCCTGCTTCC